CACATTGAAATCATTCAGTTTCTCAGTCTTCTTAACGCCTCCTCCACTATGCCTCTAACGTACAAGGCTCGCCACGTTGATGAAGTTGAGCGCGAGCTGCCCCCATCCCCGTATGCCATAACAGCCCACTTGCACGCTATGGGAAAGAGGCAGAGTGAAGGAAGAGGTGTTAAACACAAGGAAGAGAGGAGCAGAAAAGGAAAACCGATAGGCAGAGGGTGACCCAAACATCTGCTTTCTCTCACAGTTTTGCAGTTTTGGTGAAGAGTCTACCACATTCGCTTTTCAGCACACCTGCACTTCCTTCTTCATTTTTCATCTTCCTTTTCACCCTTCGGACTTTTGTTTTGAGGGTGTTAGGGTGCAGGGTACAAACAGAGTAAGATGACACAAACTTATGTTCTTCTTTTACTGCATTCTTCACAGTTTTGCAGTTTTAGTGAAGGGTTCCCCACCTTTGCACATTCTTGTACACTCTTTTCAGCGCACTTGCACATTTTTGTTAGGGTGCAAGGTACATCTAAGTAAGACCTTCACGACAGATAGGACAACTGTCATAAGGATGCGGGCGATGGTAGCAGCCCTCCCGCTGATCTACAAGACGAAAACCATTCAGGTAAGCAACTTTGTCACAGCAGGGCGGCTAGCATTAACCATACCTCTGAAGCTATAGTGCCCGCAGGCACAGATGGGACATACTGCATCTGGATGTAGAGGATGTTCACAATCCGGATACAGGTGGCATCCCTGCCGACAGCGGGCCCGGAAAATTATAAGGTTGTAGTGATGTCGACAAAGTCGATGCTTTCCACAACCAAGTGTAACTGTGTCAGTGGTCTCACAAAGGAGGTCACAAGGTGTTAGTGCAGCATGTGGGGGAATGAAGACTAAAGCAGGCATGGTGACAGACATGGAGGTAGGCACGGAGACAGACACAAAAACGGGCATGGAGACAGGTGTGGAGGCAGGCACAGAGACAGGTGCAGAGGCGGGGACGGAAGTACACGTGGTACCCATAG